CCTCAATTCAGAACCCACGCACAAACACAGGACGCGTCACATACGTCAAGGGGAAGCGATGAAGATATTTTTCTGAGCTTCCAAAAGAGTTCATCAAATGCTCCCAACGCACCTATTCAAGACAAAACATTCTTTAGGGGGAGCAAGTGTGCACATTATGAGGGAGAGTACTGGCATATATACTACTCCACTGAGCTGAAAATCAACAAATACACACTTCAACACCAATACACGCCATGTGCATATTCTGAGGGGGAGTGTTTCTTTTTCACTCCTCATGGTGTCATACAACGAAGAAAGCACATTCCAAAGGGGAGCTTCCTACTTTACTCCCCGGATGACAACAACAATACTTGCAAATTCTGAGGAGGAACATCTCTATTTCCTCCTGGCGCCACACCATGATCGATGCAAGAACCAACTCAAGGATGCACCTTTTGAGGGAGAGTTATAAAGTTCTCTTCCCAAGAGCCAAACAACGTCAAAAGCATCCTATTAAGTGCTCCTATTGAGGGGGAGCAAAGAAATCAATGAGAGATAGGTCTCAATGGCTTAGTAAACCCAACTGAACCTACCCAAGAGACAAAACCGAGAGTGAGTGAGTGAAGACTATGAGAGTGAGAAAGCAGAAGGCTCAACTGAGCGTGAAAACAATATTCAAAGACGAATCTGCTACTTCAACTGAGCGATTAATCGAAGAATCAATCCTAGTCACTCAAATACTCCAGACAATTCCCCATAGGTACAGGACTGAATTTATTCAGAGCCCGGGTAAAAGTCGCTGCATCTTGTCCAACAGCGCATGCACAACCCTACCCTAGACCACTCATCTATTTCCCAAAAGACAGGTGTTTCATCAAAATTTCATGGGGAACCTCATCTTTTATCACCGTCTCCTTCTGAGGCGACTGATACTGACTACAGTGGCCCACGGCCCCATGCTACTGGACTTTCATTGACCACATCGTGTCTAGTTATCACACTCCCAAATGGTTTTAATTTTCTAGGACACATACACATTTTAGAGTCAGTTGCTGGTCCTCAAGACCTGCGAGAACTTCCATAGGACTCATCTATTATGGATGTAGACTGATGATTGGATGGAAGTCCTGATGTTGCAACATAGAAATCACCAACATTTTCAGGCCATTGCTGTAGAGTTCATCTCTATAGTAATTATAACGGGCGTCTACGCGACCCCGGGGGGCTACAAGTTTTCTTTGCATATCATTTTGATCATGCCATAACGACCAAAGTGACATCTACTTCTGATGCTTCACAATGATCGGTCGGAAGTCTTGTAAAAGTTGTAACGTTTCTATCATTATATACAGGCCACACATCAGTGTTTACATTGATGTTGTGATAACGTAACACCTCATTGTATCCGGAATTTAATTTTATTTTGCAGAATAAAAGGACGAACGAAGGCATGACGTCCCGACTCATCGGATCGTCATGAGGGGGAGAGCGGTCCAAATAGCGGTCCAAATGCTTATGAAATTTCAAAGATCATTCTCGGACGCTTCTCTCCTCCAACACCCCACTTTTGCCCACTCAGCTTCACATCAAATGGTCAGCATGTACTCATAACTCCATCATCATTTTCCGCTGTACCACCGACAAGTTCTCCACAAAAGCTTTCACATAAAATAGTCAAAAAGACTACATTCTGAAGGAGACAGAGGTCGGATACTCAAGAACTGAAGAAGAATCATGTGTGCGCCTGAAGCAAGTCAAGAATATTCATTCTAGAGGCGCCATCAGATTTCATTCAAGCTGATCAAGAGCAACTTCTGAAAGGCAAGGACTACATGCAAGATTTTGAAGATCCTTAAACCCACGACATCAAAGATCAAATAACCAAGAAGACAACAAAGGGGAGATTGCAAGGAGTTCTTCGCAAAGCCTTTCAAAGAAGACAAAAGTAGCTGATATCCTCTGAAGATCAAGACAAAGATAACCCGCACTTCATTGCAATTGAACACAAAGGGGGAGATTGTTAGGATATATTTTATTGTGTTCAATTTAATTAGATTTATCTTTGTTTAATTAGGATTTAATTAGTGGGCTAAGTATTTAATTAAGGCCATTTAATTAGATATCATTCGGCCAATCCTAATGTAACAAGGATGTTCGGCCATCCCTCTATAAATAGAAGGAGAATGGACCGAACATACTTGAAGGTTTCACAATTAGAATAGCCATATTATTCTCGAAGCTCTCTCTCTAGAACCTGAAGTCTCTACACATTACATTCCGCATATTATTCTCTGTAGAGCAAGTAGAATAGAAATTCTCTCTATCTTATTCGTTCGAGTACTGTGTATTTGTTCTTCATCGGATCATCATTATGAATACACAGTATATGTTGATGTTGAATTTCTCTTCTACAGTTTAAATTCTTTCTATTATTCTTAGATTATTCGACTGTTGTATCTGGGCTACGTTCTCACACGAACAAAACAAATTCTAAATCTATAAATTTCTCTAAATACAAATTAGAAGATACTTACACTAATTAAAGGACATGTAGAGGGTATAAACATATTTTTAATAGTGCATGAGTGTAAGTGATAATACATCAAACCTCAAGGCGGGTTAATAACACTTTCCAATTATTAGTCTAAACATTATTAATGATATCGGATTATTTATCATTTTGTTGTCAATGATAAAAAATGGTAATTTCAATTAAAAAGGGTCATAATGTGTAAAACAAGAATTAATTTCAGCTTTCCATCGAGTCAATCTGATGCACAATAAACCTTATATGGTGCACTTTTCCAATATTTACGAAAATTCCACTGCGTCTAGATGTTGGAAAAGTGCATCAGATAATATTTATTAAAAAAATGCGTTCGATAAGAGTTATTTTTTATCAGATTGACAGTGTGGATGATGTTAGTTTTCTCGCACTTAAAATAGATTGTAGTAAAAGGGTATAAGTTCGAGTATCGTCTCCATAGGGACGGTAAAAGGGAATCAGGAATTAATTAAATTCAGCGATTAAAAAGAAATAAAATAAAATAAAGATTGGTTTCTATCTAATTAACGACGAAGGGAACAAGGATTGATTCCGGGGTAACCGGATTTCTGGCTAATCAGGCTTAATTACATAAAATTAATTTAATTTAACCTAGCTAATCATTACTAAGTTCTTACCGCTCTCGCGGCGTAGAGTACAATCATTTAGGGGACCATGCTGATCTCTCATGCGAGAGGTTCCTAAATTATTGCCAAGATGAGCGAGCTTATGACCCCTTAATCGCTACTAATCTCTTAGCGAGCGATTAAGTGTGTGTGAAGGTGTCTTAGAATAAACTAGATCTCTCTTAATTTATTCTACAAACAATTGTAATTCTAGCTGCAGTTCTAGGTTACAAAAATATCAGTTAATTCATTCAAACACAAATTAAACACATTCATGCAATTAATCCATCACGAGTTTAGCCATACATCGTGATTAACCCCTTCATCAATCCCAAATCTCTAATTAAAACTACTCCCGACTCATAATTGAATAATCAACAGAATTGGGATAAATAGAAATAATTGTCATTAATTAAAAAGATGAAACTTACAAATAATCCCAGGATCTTCAGCAAAATAGGGGAAAAGCTAGTCTAAAATCGAGCCTAGGCCTCTCTCCAAGTTTCGTCACCCTTAAATGGGAGTACAGAGGCCTTATTTATAGAAAAAGGGGCAAAATTCGACTGAAATTAGGTTTTCGGACCCAGGCACAGTGCTACGCACGGTGTGCCTGGTGTCCGTGCCTCCGGAACAAACGCGCGTTTCGCGCTTACGCACGGCGTGCCTACTTGCCACGCACGGCATGCGTACCCTCCAGTAGCTTCCTCGCTTCGCCTCTTCAAAAGGCACTGCGTGCGTACCTGTCAGGCACGGCGTGCCTGGCCTCCAGTGGCTTCCTCGCTTCGCCTCTTGTGGACGCACGGGGTGCCTACTTAGCACGCACGACGTGCCTACTTAGTACGCACGGCGTGCTTACTCTCGTTCCGCCTCTAGGAACTTCTCGCTCCAAATGCCCCCACAATTCTTCCAAAGAGTCTTTCGTCAACGATTCTTCGTCGTGAACCTCCCGGTGACCTCCAAATCGCTCAAATCTTTCTCGAATGCTCCTCAACTCTTCTCAAATGCTTTTCACGCGCCAGTGCCGGGCTCAAATTCCCTGATTTTGACTCCAAAAGATACCAAACTCGTACCAATGCCCGGTAAACATGACTTGAGCTAAAATTGAGACTTATAACCCGTAAAGCTAGGAAAAATTATCAAAAGCTGATCCCAACACACATCAAATGCGTGTTGTAATACGAACTTATCAGTGGACAATTGAGATTAATTCTTATTTTACACGTTAAGACTCCTTTTATTTGAATCATCCCCTATATATACACACACACACACACTTTGTTTGTCCTAAAAAGGTTTTCTAAATTGACCTTTCTTGAACAATGGTAATCAATATTGACCAATGATATTTTTTTAATACAAAATTATTTTAAATATGAAAATGATATTAAAATTCCTTATTGAAAACATTTTCAAAAAGGTATGAACTTTATAAATCATCTATAAATATAATACGGATCAATTACTATCATTTCCCAAAGTTTGTCATCATTAATCACGAAAAATCAATATGACAAACTTTTTCAGGACGGAGGTAGCTAGAATAACTTAGCTGGAGGTATGTTTTCATTTTTTTGATGAGTACATTAACCAATAAATAAACATTCATGCATTTTTAATTATAATATTTTAAATGTGATTATGTTAGAAGTTTTTAAGATGATACTACAGAGTATAATATAGCTTTAATATTTATGATGACATTTCTTATCAATGTTATTGTTGTAATTATTTTCATTTTATTTCATTTTTGAATAATTATTAAATAATTTATGAATGGACTAAAAGTGGAGAGTATATTAGACTTTTAAATTATAATATCGAAAAGTTGTTTTTTTATCATCAAAACATGCCTCTATTCATATCAAAAGATTCAGGATCATTACATCAAGTAAGGGGAAAATAAAACAGACATCAACTGAAACTCCAAGAACTACAACTGTAATCCTATGGTGAGACTTTGTGACGGTCACCCCTGAGAGAGCAACACGAAACGCTAACCATGTAGTGGGCTTGACACAGGCAAAACTATTCCCATAGATCCAACCATACCCAATGACATAAAGAAAGACAAAAAACTCAAACAAACTGTCAAACCCAACAAAAATGGACGCAAGAAAACAAATAACAAACAAATAAAAACTACAAGAAAAGCGTTCACGAACTCTAGCACCTCGTACATCCCATGGTGGTGGTTCAGGAGGAGGTCGTACCACTGGTACCATGCTAATTGATCCTCCATGACCTTTGGCTGCCAAAGACCATGCATCAATCCTCCATCCCTGCATAATCAAACTCATCCCTGCTCCGTGCGACCAGAGTAAACGGATAGGCGGCGCCGATCTTCTCCACCGACGACAGCAACGCCGCATCCACGAACCTTGACCACAACGCCGATCTCCTCGAGCCATGACAACAACTCTTCCCTCCTCCACTGATTTCCGCCCTCCGCGTCTGACCTGGGCTCCAATCGAGCACCAGCGACTAAGGGATAACAAAGTCGATCTTCAAGAAAATCGAAATCGGAAAAAGGCTCCAGCGGCCGACACAGTCAAAGCCCTAGAGAGAGGATCTCTTGATTTATCAATAATTTACATTTGGATGAGGAGCTGCAACTGCTTGAGAGAATCCAGATCGCGCGAATCTATCGAAAAGCTGTTATGAGAAAGCTACTGAGGCTGGTTTTTTTGTTTTTGACTTTTTCATAGCAAATCAAAAAAATTGTTTGTCAAACACTTGAAATAACCTTTTGACACGATTAAACATCCAAGATCAATCTAAAAAGTCAAATAAATGACCGATAGGCCGTTTGGCCCGTTTATCTAACATCCGTACATTACAAAAAAATTACAAGATTGACACGGAATTTGGCATGAATTTATCAATTTTTCGTGCCAAATAGCTCGTGCCAAAATGTTTTTAGCACGGATTTGACATATCCCTGCCAAAATCCCTGCCAATTGCCAAATTCCTGCCAAAATCCCTGCCTATCTCATATTTTTTTGTAGTGATATTGTCATCTTTCGTGGTCTATATGATCTTTGTACGTTGTACAAATCTGCACCGTTCTTAAATAAGTGTAACATGTTGAATTTTACATTATTCACATGTGCTACTTTGAGTACGTTTTATTTATTAATGTATTACGGAGTAATATATATTTTTGAAAAAAATATTGTTAAATTTGTCCGATTGAAATTTTTGAAAAACCAATTTTTTTATTTTTTACTAATAGAGAATTATATATATTAATGGTTAAAGTTAGTTGTGTTTCGACAAATGTACAGGGCCGTCTAATAAATTTGGAGGCCCCGATTCAAAATTTAAAATCGGGGCCCCACATTAATATAAACAATTGAAAAAAATCTCAATCTAAATACTTATACTCAAATCAATTGAATATTGATTAAAAGATGAAAACTAGAAGAGTAAAAAGACCAACGAAAAAAATGATGCATCTATATGTTTCTTCCTTAGTAAGGATATCTTACCGATTAATATATAATATTACTACATAATATTAATAAATTTTTAAATATTTGGGGCCCTATAAATTCGGGGGCCATGTTCTGGATAACCTATTGAACCTCCTAAAAACGGCCCTGCAAATGTATAAAGTTGATCATTGCACTTATTCAAGAACAGAGTTTCGATATATAATCTGAGATGAGTGAAATAAACCGAAGATAGGATGAAAAAAGAGAAGATGAAGAAGGCCGGGGAGAATTTGAAAACGGGGAAGAACACACACAAGGAACCGTTACTCTTGCACTTCGGTTACCTTGTTCACTGGCCGACCTATTTAGGCAGCTCATATGAGGAGTCCTGGGTTTTCGGTATAGTATTGTTGTTTTTTTCTTTTATCACGGATAATAATATTACTAATCCAATTGACTAATTTGTAAATTAGATGAATACTATACGGGTTAGGGTGGGAAACGGGTCTTGGATAGGGATGGCAATGGGGCGGTTCGGGGTCGGGTATACCATTATCCGTACCCGCCCCGTTTGATAATATTTTTCTCCGAAACCGCCCGGTTATCCGTCGGGTATTCTTTATCCACGGGTAACGGTTTTTCCCGCGGGTAACGGTTGCCCCGCGGGTAACCATTTTATTAAAAGATAACTTTTTTCTTCAAAATTAGTATAAATCCTAAAATGATGATTAACTACTTATAATTGACCACCTAAATTAAAAAAATCAAAATTAAATAGCATCATATATAAAGTTTTTTAAAACATCACGAAAAATTATAATCGTTTGAACCTAATATTCACAAATTATATATGTCTAGATTCAAAATTATGAATCTCTTACTACATCAACGTCAAAAGATTAAGTCTGGTCTCGATAGTAAAATCTAAATATGAATCACAAACACATTTAACTTCCAAAAATTCAATAATCATGCCTGATGGAGTATATGGCCCGGGAACCCCCGGCCCACAGACTCCTACTACTCCAGCGAAGGCCCAGCAGGCCCAGAAGGCCCAACATGCCCAAATCACAGCGTCCAGAGTACCAAGCAGCCCGCACTACGCACCAGGGGTGCCTTCGGCCCCCTGGCCGAAGGCTCTAAACTCTCACAGAACGGGTTTCTCAAGCAAATTAAGAAACTGGGAGAAAACGGCGAAAACAGTAGCCCTCGGCACTGTGAGCCCTCGGCACCAGAGTGCCATCGGTTGGAGGAGCCCTCGGCTACTGCTCTATAGCCGGAGGCATCTCACTCGACAAGATATCCGCCTCACATGCGTGCAGATCACCGTATCCTGCACAGACGTCCCATCCAACAGCCGCATTAAATGCGGCCACATGCGGTTGCCAGCGCCAACCAGTTGAGGTGACCCCTCGGCCAATGAGCGCTTGACACGTGTCCCTGTCCGGCATTTATTGCTACTATAAATAGCACCCAATTTCCTCATTTGTAACCACGCTGAAAACGGCATTCATACCGAATACACTCTCTCTCTACATTTACTTACTTGCTCTGACTTCTCTCTAAGTTATTCCCCGCAATAACCCTTCGGATATATACCCCCGGGTAGACTATCCATCATTTGGTGCTCTCGTTGAGAGGTCGAACAATCAAGTAAGAAACCCTCCCCCTCGACCAAACACAAAACACTAGCCCGCTATCAGAATGGTGAGGACAACACGTGCCAACTCAAAGAACGTAGAAGACAAGAACCTGGCCCTCGGCGACGTCAACGCCCCCGAAGCCTCTCACAGGGCTCCCGAGGGCGGTGTCATCGCTGGGCTGGAACAGGCGGCTGTCGACCTACGCCTTCAGATCCAACAAAATGCCCCCGATGCCCGCCTCGGCATCGAGGCCAAAAAGAAAAACCGGAGCGATGACCAAGTCAGCCCTCCGGTTCTCACCATCGACGTGCAATCGGCGCTCTCCGCCTTAATCCAAACGCTCACCCAGAACCCGGGTGCCTTCGGCACCCTGGCTCCAGCTCACCCTCAGGTTGGGGAAAACGTCATACTTCCCCCTCTGCCACACCCCTTCGGAAATCCCACCCCTCGGGTGAGAAAAGACGAAGGGGTGGTGGCCCAAGATACGTCCTCCCAGGAAGTTCAGTCCCGGGACCGCCATAATGACAACAGGGAAAGGCCCCGTACTTCTGCCCTCAACCGGCTCGGAGGAGGGCCAGACCACCGAGGGGTCCAAGACCGCCTCGGGGGGAAAGCACTCCAAAGGCCCCAGGAAAGCGGGGGATCTGTTTCGAGGGCAGGCGAGGAGCGTCCCCCTCGGGACAAAGGCAAGGCACCCCTTCATGCCGATGACGCTCGCCACCAGATCAACCAGGCCCACTCAGCCCGGGTTCGTTCACAGGGGGCGGAGACCCTCTCGAAGGATCCCCGGGACGAGATTATTGCGGCCCTCCAACGCCGGCTTGACGAGATGGAGTCCAACAAAGCTCAGGCCACCACCTCCACCCCTCATTCAGATCTCAAATACGAGGCCATGATGGCCAAAATGGAGGAGTTACAGAAGAAGGTGGTCGAGGGCTCCGGAGAACCCGTCATCCAGCTCCGGACTCGGACGCCATTTACCCCAAGGGTATTGGCGGCCCGGATCCCGGAAAAATACCGAGGGCAACACATACAGCCCTACAACGGAAAAACGGACCCCCAGGAACATTACAGCAAATACCAGAACAACATTATGATGGTGGGGGCGTCAGACGAATATTTGTGTCGTTGGTTCCTCTCCACCTTAGAGGGACCGGCATACGAATGGTTCAACAGGCTGCCCGAGGGTTGTATTGATTCGTGGCAAGAACTCGCCCAACGATTCTTGACACAATTTGCCGGGAGGCGTCGCACAAGGAAGCACTTCTCCCACCTCCTAACAATACGCCAGAAGAGGGATGAGACCCTTCGGGATTTCCTAGAGCGACGGAGGCCGACAAGGTCGACGGTGCTGATGACGGGACCCTCCTGGCCCTCCTACAAACCGTCCTCCGCACCGGCAACTTTTCAAGGAGCCTCATCATTGAACCCCCCCGCGACTACATAAGGGCTTTGCAGCGGGGGGACCGATATGCTGAGGCCGAGGAGGTGGAGAAGTATCACCAGCATCCGGACCAGCATCCCCCGAGGGCTGACAACAAGCATAACCGAGGGCCGGGGGCTCCTCCAAATCACCCCAAGACTTCGGGGCCCTCTAATGACCGCCCTCGGCAAGGCCAAGCCAAGACCGGGGGAGGTTATAAGAGCAACCCTAAGACTTGGGCACAGCCCATTCTCCTGGACCGCCCTCGGACACCATTGACGCACCCCGTCAGCATCATCCTCGATTTTGCCGAGGAGAGGGGCCTCGTTGAGCGCGATTCTCGCTAACCCCCGGAGGTACACGCTATCAACCCTCAGTTCCCCTACTGTCGCTTCCATCGGCACCAAGGGCACAGGACCGATGACTGCCATCAGCTAAAGATGGCCATCGAGAGGTTAATACAAGCGGGGCACCTGTCCCAATTTATTCAGGGCCCTCGGCAGGAGGGACCTTCTCATCAGGGGCCTCCCCGAGGGCACCACACGAAGGTGAACGCTTGGGTAAACCCGAATACCATCCCCCTAGGCAAGAAGAGGGAGATTGGAAACTTGGAAGAAGAGGAGGAGGAATACCCCCACTACCAGGAGAAAAAACGCCACATCCTCATGATCACCGATGGCAATACAGGGGGCGATTCCACCAGCCAGCGGAAGAAGTGGGCTCAGTCGCTTTACGTGGGGGAAGTCACTCATATGCCCCCGGTAAAGCGACTGAGGGAGGAACCCATCACCTACACCAACGCAGATCTCCCTCCTACTTCTTCTCCTCACAGGGATGCCTTGGTGATTCGGACGGAGATAAACGACACCATCATTCACCGAACTTACATTGACACGGGCAGCTCCGTCAATGTAATGTACCTCAGCACCTTCCGAGAGCTGCATCTAGAGAGGGGGTCCCTTCGACCCATTAAGACCCCTCTTGCCGGTTTCACCGGCGATACTATTGATTCCGAGGGGGTAATAACCCTCCCGGTGATCTTCGGCGACGGGCTCCATAGAGCCCAGCTCGAAGTGGAGTTCGTCGTCGTCAACATTGACTGCGCCCACAACATCATCCTCGGCCGACCAGCCCTCGAGGACCTCGAAGCCATTATCTCCATGAGGCACCTCTGCCTCAAGTTTCCCGCCGAGGGGGGCATTGGCTACTCCCGGGGGAATCAGAAAATTGCCCGCGCCTGCTATCTC